ATGCTTACTTTTGGGGTATCCTAAAGAGAGAAGAGGGTATTGCATCTACAATCCTTCTGAGGGAAAAGTGTTTTTTCGCTCGAAATGGAGTATTCCTGAAAAATAAATTCAAGAATCACAAAGAATTGATACACCTATGGAGGAACTACAGTAGGAAACACAATTAGTTATGGAAGAGCAGTCTGCTCAAGTAGAACAAGACCAGTGTATGTCAAATAGGATATGTCACAAACTTGATAAACATGGTTATCTCTTAATTAATCATGGTGATATATTACTCATGGATCAAGATGAGCCTGTGACCTACCATGAAGCCATCATTGGTCCCGAGTCTGAGAAGTGGATAGAAGCCATGAAATCTAAAATGGTTTCCATGTACACAAATTAGGTTTGGACCTTAGTAGAGCCTCATGTAGGAGTTAATCCTATAGGATGAAAGTGGGTCTTCAAAATGAATACTGGCATGGATGGTAAGGTACATACCTATAAGGAAAGACTAGTTGTTATAGGCTATAAGTAGATTCATGGTGTAGACTATAATGAAACATTTTCACCAATTATAATTCTTAAATCTGTTAAGATTTTACATGTTATCACTTCATATCATAATTATGAAATATGGTAGATAGATGTAAAGACTAATTTTCTTAATGGGAATCTTCTTAAGGACGTGTACATGACATAACTTGAAGGATTTGACATAACTTAAGAAGCCCAAAAGATATGCAAGTTACAACGACCAATCTATGGATTGAAGAAAGCTTCTAGAAGCCAGAGTCTTCACTTTGATGAAACAATAAAATAATATGGATTCATCAAAAACGAAGATGAGCTTGTGTCTACAAGAAGGTTAGTGGGAACATGATTGTCTTCTTGATATTATATGTAGATGACATATTACTCATTAGAAAGGATGTTCCTACCTTGCAGCAAGTAAAAACTTGGCTAGGGAAATACTTTTCTATGAAGGACCTAGGTGAGGCATCATATATATTAGGAATCATGATCTATAGAGATAAATCACAAAAACTGTTAGGCCTAGTCAGAGTACATAAATAGACAAAGTGCTGAGACACTTTAATATGCATGATTCCAAGAAAGGATTCATACTTATGAAACATGGCACGTGTCTATCAAAAACACAATCCCCTTCAACTAATGAAGAAAGGGATCACATGAATAAGATTCCATATGCATCTGCAATAGGATCTATCATGTATGACATGTTATGTACTCAACCATATGTCTTGTATGCTTTAAGTGCAACGAGTAGGTACCAATATGATCCCAATTATGCTCATTGGGTGGTTTTCAAGAATATCCTTAAGTACTTGAGAAGGACTAAGGACTCGTTCTTAATATATAAAGGTTAGGAAGAGCTCGTTGTAATTGGATACACCGATGCTAGCTTCCAGACATATAAGGATGACTTTATATCACAATTTGGTTATGTGTTATGCTTAAATGGTGGCATTGTGAGGTGAAACATTCAAAGAAAGATACATTTGTTGATTCTACAATCGATCCCGATTACATTGTTTCCTCAAATACTGCAAAGGAAGTTGTTTGAAGCAAGAAGTTCTTTAGTAAACTTGGCATAGTCCCTAACATTATGGATCCCATTGATCTCTATTGTAATGACAATAGTGTTATCTGTTGAACAAGTGACCTCAAGCACAAGAGGAGAGTGAATTGTGGTTTTTGAAAAGTATGGGTATTTTTTCCTTTCTCAATTAAGATCGTATTAGTAATGTTTTTGAGCAATAAAATGTAGTGGAAATAAAGTAAATCGAATATATTGAAAATAATTAAAGAGAGTAGGGATAGAAAGATTGCACCAGAGAGTTATCCAGGTTTGGCCAAAAGTCGGCTTAATCCTGTTCCCAAGAATTCTTCTTGAGATTTTTCACTATAAACTTGTGAGATTTTATTGGTTATGCCCACGAACCTTAATACAATTAATACCTTGAACAAACTATAACTCAACCTCATGAAACTTTTTAGAGATTTATGGCTAATCTCCTTAACCAAGAACAAAGTTTTTTACCAGCTAAGCTTAATAAACCAATAACAGAGATTTTTCAGTTAATCTCAAGAACCAACAAATTAATAAATAATCGACACCACCACTTACAAAATACTACTCTCCTCAAAAATGAAATTTCACTCAAAACACTTAGGCAACCAAGAATGAAGAAAAAGAAAATCTCTAGAGAGAGAAGGAGAGAGAATTCCAAGCAAATATGAAGGCGTTGGAAAGTGACGTGATTTCAAGGGAGGAAGTCACCCTTTTATATAGTAAACGAAACCACTCAAAATAGAAATGACCCATGTGCCTAATTAATGATTTAATCGATTTGCATAATCGATTACTTTTAATGAATATGGCCATTATGCTCTTCAAAATGGAATATTTTGTTTTAGATCTGTTGCCATTAGATTAGGTGTTTAAGAAAAGTCTTTAGGCGCAAGTTTGGTCTATTTTAATCTATTAGACTAATGTGTTAATCGATTAATTTAGACAAATTTTTACTTTTGGCTATTTCTAGGGTTCCAAAGCTATTTGGCATATTTTCAAAATTGTGTTTCTCTTTAGAATAAGGATTTTAGTGTATGTGTCTGAGTTTCCTTAGTATTTTAAGCTGTTGTTTCACTTTTACAATATTTTTGTTCTCTCAGACGGACGGTTACGTCTTGATGGCCCGTTGAGATTGATAGCTTGATGATTTTTCACATTGATGAGCTTCCATATCTTTTTATTTTTAATAAGGTTTGTAACTTATCTTTTAGTGTTATATGCTTTGTTGTCAGATATGCATTATCATCATCAAAACTCGGTCGTTACCTGCAAGCACATAGACCCCCCTTGTAATATTATTATTTACCCCCCCCCCCTATATTCAGTATCTGCCCCCTTGTAATATTTTTTTGGGTTAAATACCTTATACCCCCTGTAATAGTATTAAGATTTGATTTACCACCCTTTTAAAAAAAAATCTTTTCGCCTCTCAACAAACATACATTCCATAACCAAAAACCTTTTAGCCCAAGATTTCATTTGAAATGCTGGTCAGAATTTGTTTGCTGACTGTGTCATATTCTTTGAAATTCATATGAAAAATCTCAAAAAAATGCACCTCCAAGGATTTGAACCCAAGAACTTTCCTTCATTCATCAAACATCCAAAAATTAAAATAAAATATCTTTAATAAATTTCTTTGATGAACATGGCGAAAGTTTTGAAACCGCTCGCACGGTGGCAACAAAGTGATGGTTGGGAGACTGCAATGATGTTTTGAAGAAATTTATTAAAGGTATTTATTTTAATTTTGAGGTAATTATTTGCAACAACAAATTTGATGGCGCAGTGGTTGGATGTTTGATGAACGAGGGGAGATTCCTAAGTTTGAATCCTTGGAGGTGCAATTTTTTGAGATTTTTTCATATGAATTTCAAAGAATATGATACAGTTAGCAAACAATTTATGGCATTTCAAATAGAATCTTATATTTGTTGAGGGACGAAAAGATTTTTTATTTAAAATGTGATAAATCAAATCTCGCTACATTGCAGAGGATAAAAGTTATTTAACTATATTTTTTTTTATTTACCCCTATATTCATTGTTCAACTTGTAAATTTAGAGGAGTAATATATATATATATATATATATATATATATATATATATATATATATATATATATATATATATATATATATATATATATATATATATATATATATATATATATATATATATATATATATATATATATATATATATATATATATATATATATATATATATATATATATAGGGGTAAGCATTATTTAGATTTTACTTGGTACATTGGAAAATAAGCATTATTTAGAGATCCTGTTATATAAAATTTTCATGTCACTGATCTATATCAATTTTTGTCTGGAGGTGTATTGATGTGGTGGTCATCAAATTTTAATGATGCTATACATTAATAATAATAATATACATCAATGATAAGAGTCATTGTGATCCCATCATAGATATATGTGATAGACCATAGTATGAAGAGAAAAATTATAAATAAAAAAATGAATGCATAAAATTTTTTGATGTAATTATTATGATATATTGTTCAAATGGATGGTTGTTAGAGTATTTTATTAAATATTTTATTTAATTATTATATTTCAATATTTATATAACCATATATATATATATATATATATATATATATATATATATATATATATATATATATATATATATATATATATATATATATATATATATATATATATATATATATATATATATATATATATATATATATATATATATATATATATATATATATATATATATATATATATATATATATATATATATATATATATATATATATATATATATATATATATATATATATATATATATATATATATATATATATATATATATATATATATATATATATATATATATATATATATATATATATATATATAATTATAGAAATTATTTATTAATAAAGAGTATTGATTGATTAATTATCAAATAAGTTATAAGATTAGTTAGAGTGGACGTATAGAAAACCAATTTTTAAATAATAAAATTCCTAATTGGCCATCATATTTTATAAAGCTATTCCTCTAAATAGATCGGACACATTGAATATTGTCTTTTACCCATAAGCTATTAGTCTCAATATAGACACATTGGATATTATCTCTCTCCCATATGAAAAGTGTCAAAGACACGATGACGTTAAATGTAATTTTTCATCAATGAAAAGTGTAACACTATTTCAAATTTCAGAGTAAGAACCATGAGCGATGATAGTAAATTCAAACATTGTAAGTTTTATTTTACTTATTTTCGAAATACATAGCATATGAATCACTAGGGGATTCAATTACGAGAAGAGAATTTAATCCATTTTCTTTATTCTGTCTTGGCTATTACAACAAACCAAGTGTTACATAATACTTATTCTTCAAGCACATGCCCTGCAAGAACCTCAGTAAGGAACCCTGCAAAGAGTAAAGTAAATCTATCATGAATTTAAACAAAGATAAGAAAAGTTTAGTCCAGAATATGATTAAGAATATACAGTAGCAAGAGGGTTATTAGTGAGAGATGTAGTTACTTGTTGCAGTCAATGGTGGGACTAACTTTGTAGGGAATGTTGACACCACACTTGCTAGGGAGAGCAGCAAGGGCAGGAAGATTGAGTCCAGGTAAGCTAAGTGAAGTGGATTTGAGGCACCTACAATCAGCTTGACGATCAGAAACAGTTTTGGCTTGGTTGAACACACTTCTAACCCCATTGCAACATGGTACTGGAACAGATGCGCCTGGTCTTCTAAGGTAGCCAATGCATGGTGCTACAGTTAGTTGCACTTGGCCACATGATTGGGCAGCATTTGCTAAGGGAGCAAGCAAAACCAAGCATAGCACAACCAAGCAAGTGATCGTTGAGCTAGCCATTGATTGTTTTGTAATTCAATTCAACTGTGTGAGTGAGGGTGAGGTGATGGATGTGTTAAAGTACATAGCTATAGGGACTATTTATAGAGTATTGATGAAACTTGGTCCCAATGTTTAACATTTATTATGTGGCCGGGAGAGGAGAGTTTTTACACCAATCAAAATCGAGTATGGATCCTCGGTTACTAAATTATTAGCAGCCATGAATGCAGCCAAATAGTAACTAGTAGTTTGATTAATTAAAAAGGATGGAAATTCTATTGTCATTGATATTTTAACTTTATATTTTGAGTTATGTTTTTGCTCTATTTAATATATCAATATTTATTTTTATTTCATCTATATTTATTTGGAGAAAAAAATCTCCCTCTAAAAGAAATTTCATTATGTAGGATCCAATTCTTCAAATTCAAATGTAACTATTAAATTAATAATTGAATAGTTAAAGTAATAATACTTAAAAGTGTTAAGAATAGAATTTTATTAAATAAAAAAAGAATTTAAATTGATAATAGAAAACTACTATTTTAATAATATATAATTTTTTAGATTTTAAAAAATATTATTTAAATTACTTAATCTTTACTTAGGTTTGAATCTTTAATTTAATTTAATGTTATAAATCTATATTTGAGAGCAAATTAAATTAATTTCCTTTTAATTAATATAATTTCCAAATCTAATGGTTATTATTTGAGTCCATACGTGACTGTTTATAATTTAGCTATCGAAAATTCAGGGCGTTTGTTTTAAATTTTAAAAAATGATTATTTTTTATTTTTAAAATAATTTTTTAAAGGATAACCCCTTGTAACATTTGAGGAGGAAAATAAAAAATATTTTAAAATTTTATTATAGTTCGATGGAAGAGTTCGATGGAAGAAGATTTGTGAGGGGTTTGCATGAATTGACATGCTTTATTAACACTAAAGGCAATATCAGGTCTGGTTAGTGTTACATACTGTAAAGCTTCAATCATCGATCTATACAGTTGAGCATCAGAGAAAGGAGTGGAACCATGTCTACTCAACTTATAGGTAATCATCATTAGAGTGGTGACTCCATTTGCATTTACCATATTTGCCCTGACTAACAGATCCTTGATGTATTTGGATTGAGTGAGGAGAAGAGAACCATTGTTTCCAAATTTCACCTCAATGCCTAAAAAATAGCTTGGTCTACCTAACTCTTTCAGAGCAAATTTGTGATGCAATTTGTTGATTAGATCATGAACCAAAGCTATGTTGGAGCCAGTAATTAAAATATCATCAACATATATAAGGGCATACATAGAAACACCTTGTTTGTAGTAAATGAAAAGGGAATTGTCACACTTGGAAGCATTGAAGCCAAAATGTAAAAGAGCTTGAGTGAGTTTCCCATACCAAGCCCTGGGGGCTTGCTTAAGGCCACAGAGAGCTTTAGTGAGTTTACACACCAGACTTCTGTCTTTGTTGACAAACCCAGGAGGTTGTATCATATATACTTCATCATGAAGATTCTCATTAAGGAAGGCATTGTTAATGTCAATTTGTTGAATTTCCCACTTATAGGTGATGGCTAGAGTGAGAATGACATGAATGGTTGTTGGCTTGACATTAGGGGAGAATGTTTCTGTGTAATCAAAATCATGTTCATGATTGTGATACAGTGGCAGAACCGACTGTTTAATAATGGTTTGCGTCTTTTGTTCACAAATGTCGCGGTAAGCAAGAGTCGTCACCGACTTTTCTTTTATCTAACAAAGGAAAGGGTGAAAAGAACAGAAAAAGATCTTTTTCGAGATTTTTGAGCACGGGGGGTAGATTATGAAAGGGAAGGTGTTAGCACCCTTTCCATCCATGGTTTTTCATGGGCTCTTAGGTACTTGCTCATTTTTAAGATTGCTTTCGTGTCTGTATGGTTTGAAAATCTTTGAAAATGCCTTAGTGCGGCGATTCACTTCATGGTAACTCTTGTATCGGTCCTCAAGAGTGTGATAAAGTGTTTTTGAAAACTTTGTTTGAAAAGTATGTTTGAAAGTGTATGGTATAAAAATCTGATGTGAGCAAGTACCTAAAAGTTATCTACCTACTCGAAAAAGGTGTTCTTTTCCTCTTATCCTTTAGACCGTGTTATCCTACTATTATTGAGTAGGCAACCCTAGCCGTTGGATTTTTGAGGGACTATCGAAAGGGACATACGGTCATTGAAGCAATGGTTAAGAAACCTTAGTAGTTACCCTAGAGTCCCTAAAGATCTTTCTGAGGCAACATTCGAATGGGTCATTTTTTATCTTTTGGGACTAGAGGGCATCCACTAAAACTCCTTATACTTCTTGATAGTTTACCGAAGGCAACCAGAGTGGTGATACCCTAGGGGTGCGCATGTGCGTGTGATTGTTTTTCAGTTATTTATCTTTGCACAGTTATGGTTTTCTACTGTTTCAAATTATTGATCTTTTCATACAATCCTACACATACATCTAAACAGTTTATATATTTGCAGAAAGTAAAAGCGGGAAAGTAAATCTAATTATTACAAGGCTTCGGGGAATGGGGATTACATGACCAAAAACTTTGGGGATTAAACAGTAAACAGGGAACGATAGTAAATAACCTAGTTAAAGCTATATCAATCTCGAAGCAATTACATTAATAAAGAAAAATAAATCGGACGGCAAAAATTAATTAAGCGCGAGAATTTAAATTGAAAAAAAGTGCAAAACCCTAAAAAACTAATTTGAACATTAAAATATTTTTTTGGATTTTTATGAAAAGGTTTGAAATTTAACCTAACTTTTCTAATTAATTTTAATTAATGAAACAAATTAAATTTGATGAAATTAATTAATTTGCAAAAATTAATTTGTTAAAAAAAACTAGGTCCTATTTTTTTGTGATGATTTTATGATTTTATGATAAAAAAAGAATGAATAAACGAAGTAATATAAAACTAATAAGAATAAATAAATAAATAAATAAAAGAAAAACGGGCCTGAAAGGGGGGTGTGAAATCCAGACTGGGGGTGAGGTTGTTGAATTGGGCCAAAGTCCATATCTGATGGTCCAGTGCAAGCGTGAGATCCAGTGATATTGTGTTAGAAAGGTCCACCATGGAGACTACTGGCTGGGCGCTAGATCTGGATCAGTGGATGATCTAATGGCTGAGAGGGAGAGCGCAGGATGGACGCCTGGCCATGTACCCCACTGGAACCTGCAAGAATTATTCAGAAAATAGCAAAATGCTGGACTTGGGACTTAAACCCATGTCTTCTCTCTTCCAAATGCGCTGCCTTTACCAACTGTGCCACTGGATCATTCATTAATATAATAATACAAAAACAATATATGTGAAAACAAAGGATCCCAATATATGAAAACAAAAAGCGTACGCTGGTTCAAAATAGCCAACCAGGCTACGCCATGCCATCGTCTTCCCCACTCCTCCGTCGTATTTTCTTTTGCATTTTTACTTACGAACATTGTCCGTCACTATAGTACCTGCCATTCTCAAAATTCACAGCACGTAATATAAATTCAGTCTAAAGCCATGGATCGATTGGGTTTGATCCCCTAAGCATGATGGCACTCATCGCTTAGCCTAATTTTGCCTATAATGTATGAACTTGTATCTTTTGATTGAGGCATTTCTTGACCTTGAGGGTTGAAGAGGAGTT